AATTTTGATTTAAAAGAAAACTTGGATTTCCCTCATCCATCCTACACGTTTTTTTTTTCATATATATATATATATATTTATTGCACGTACGTAAACTTTTGGTATATATATATATATATATATATATTTATTTATTTATTTATTTGTGAAGGTATTGAGAAAGAGATGCAAGTGATGGTTGTTTGCTCTCTTTTTTTATTTATTTAAATCTTCATTGTTTGATTACTTCTCGGTGGGTATAGTGCGATTCATATGAATATTTTCATATAGATCGTATGCACATAATTTTTCATATGCCAATCCTTAAATTGTAATTCGTATGAATTTTTCACTCAAATTAAACTCAAAACAATCGTAACAAATAATTTGAGAAACTTTTAATCCTTGATTTTTTTGAAATCGCATTTAACTTATATAGATCTCTAAAGAGAAATCCAAGTTTTAGTGATAATCATAGGATTGTGATAAGAACGAGAAACCACACACCATGAGTGCATTAGGAATTTATTAAGAGCAATACAAATAAGAAATCTCACACCATAAGACATATATAAGATTTATCTTCGTGGAGAGTGTCAAGGTGTAAATCACAATCCCACACTTTAAAGTGTATATAAGACTTGATTTAAATACACTGTATCTTATTGTTTTGAAATATCACGGATGTATATTTTTTCTCTCACTTCTCTGCACACACACCTGCACACCTTTTTTTCTTTCTTTCTTCTCACGTTTTCCCACAACACAGCACCTTTCTATATTTTTTCTTTCTTTCTTTCACTTTTCTGCACACACGTCTCTCTCTTTCTTTCGCTTCACTGCACACATGGTTTTTTTTTTTTGCTCTTTTTTTTTTTTGCTTTCTCTCACTTTTCTGCACACACGTCTCTCTCTTTCTTTCACTTCACTGCACACACGGTTTTTTTTTGGCTCTTTTTTTTTTTTTTTTTGCTTTCTCTCACTTTTCTGCGCACACCTTTACACACGCTTTTGGATGTATTTAGAAAAACTCCCCCTTTTTTTCGCTTCTTTCTTTATATAAGAAAATTCTATAACAGTTTTTGTCATTATTCCACGTTCTGCATTTCTGCACCATCTCCCTCTTTTTTTTTACACTCCACGTTCTGCACACACGTTCTGCACCCATTTTTATCACGTTATGCACTTTTTTACCATCACTTCACGTTTTAAAACGTACATTTTTAATCTCTTTCTTTTTTTATTATTATTTTTTTTGGGCCAGCCCAAAGTTAGGTCTGCACAAAATTTTATTTCCTCATCTCACTTTTTAAGGCCCATTTGTGATTCATCATCCAATGTACATATATATATTTTTTTGGGAGAAAGAGAAATAGGTCAAGACTTGAGATGAATTAAAATTAATAGGTCAATAGTTGACATAAGTTAATAAATATGCCAAATTATTGTTTTCGTCCATAACTTGTTTGGTTATGAACCGTAACTTGACAAGTTATTGTCCATAATTTTCAGTTTTTGTCCATAACTTGTCTGGCTATGAACCATAACTTGACAAGTTTGTCCATAATTTATCTGGTTATGAACCATAACTTCACAAGTTATGACCTATTAATTTCTATAACTAAAAATTAGCCTATATACTTTCAAGCTTTTCATATTGGCCTATTTTCTACTATTTTCCTTTTTTCCTTTTTTTTCGGCAAACAAGGTGCCCCTTTGTTATTGAAATTCTTTTACTTGTTATCATCAAATCCATCATAAAAACATGAAATTAATTACTCGAGTACTCCATGGACATTAAAGTGAGATCTATTAGTGAACCAAGCCACTAACACAATATATTTTACATCTTTTATTTTCTTAGCTTTTAATGAAATTAATCAATAATTATTTGTTGCTTCGTACGTACGTAAGTATGTATGCATAGGTGGTTATACCAGAACTCGTATTTAAAAGCATGTGAAAAATATATAGAGAAAAAGTGCTGAACTTTCTTCTCAAACTTGTGTGAAAATTTCCCAGGAAAATTCAGTTCTAGCCATATTCATAACCCGCCTTTTGCTAGTAAATTTTCTTCTGTTGATGCTCAACCAAGTAGTGATGAATCCCGTGAAAGCAAGAAGAGAAAGGCACCACTGAACTTGGATGCATCAGAGAACAGCTCAGGAGTAACTTCTCCATTTTCTTCTCAAACTGGGACCAAAAGGAAAAATGTAAACAATTAATTTGGTTTCTTTTGTGTGTTAATTCATGTATTCCATACATACATACATATATATATATATATAGAGAGAGAGAGAGAGAGAGTAGTAACACAGTTTTTTATGCTATTCTCAGGATTCAGGAAAATGAAAGAGTGAAAATTGACAATGAGAAAGAAAAAGATGAATCACCAAAGGAAGTGGTTCATGTTAGAGCAAGAAGAGTTCAATACACTAGTAATCACAGTCTAGCAGAAAGGGTAAATATAAATATTGCATATATTTATGTAAACATATGTGAATAATTCTCTAAACACAAACAATAAAAATAAGGCAAGTAATTAATAATGTTCTTATTAATTTCCAGAATTTGTGGGGTTGATCTTCAATTTGATTTTTGTTAAACAGGCAAGAAGAGGAAATATCAATGAAAGACTCAGATGCTTGCAAGCCATTGTCCCAGGATGCTACAAGGTTAACTATATATAGAGTTTTCAAATATTTTCAGCACAACAAAAAAAAAATCACCTTCAATATTTTCAGCATAAATAAAAATATTAATTTGAATATTGTATGAATTGAATTGTATTTGATGAAATTGCAGACTATGGGTATAGCAGTTATGTTGGATGAAATTATTAATTACGTAAATCAGGTTGAGATTTGTAATTTTTCTTCTTCTTTCTCTCTAATTCTCTGTTTTTTAAGCAAAAAATAAGAATATTTAAAATTTTCAAACAATAAGCAGTTGTTTTTATTTTTGATTTGTGAATTAAGTTTCTTTCGATGAAGCTAGTACTTTTTATGACTTCAACTCAGGATGCCATGGAAAGAATAGAGGTGCAGGCTTGTTCCTTTTAAATTTCATCACACAATATTAATTTTATTATTTATTATAAATTACAAAAATCCAAACTTTTTGGGATATTAGTTTTCCTCAACATTGTCCATTTATCTTATATTGTCCTATATTCAGACAGAATTTTACAAAAACGCATAATACTATAGTTACTAAATTAAAGGACATTGCAGCTAACTATTTCAAAGAATAAAAGAAATTGCAACCTTTAAGCCGTGAAATATTGCATAATAGTTGTTCCTGACGTAGCTTAATAGTAAATTCATACCCTCCAGACTCCATCCAAGTCAACATATATTTCCAATAAAAATAATATCATCCACAAAAAATTAAGGCAAAAAAGTTGTAATATCAAATTATTTGCACACATGCATAAAGTTTGTTATATTTGCATTGGAATAATTTGCTTGGAACACGTACATCAAATTTACTTACATGCATGCATTAGTATTTAATTTGTATTCTTGTATAAGCAGTAATTGCAGTCGCCAAAACATGTTCAAATATTATGAGCTTTGGATTTTTAACGATGATAAATGTCGTCACAAAAAGATAATTTGTAGACACAACAATATAAGTTTTTGTGGATCTATAAAGAGAGAGATTATATATAATGGATGAGTAATGTCTTCTTCTTTTATGAAGCAGAGAGACAGGGTAAATGAGGCAAAAGAGATGGATTTAGGACCGACAATAGAAGGATTATTTGGAGGATTTGCTCGGTTCTACTGAAGTTTGCCCCGCTTTTTGTTCATTGCTGGATGTTACCCCTTATTGCCATACAACACATAAAGATTGCTTCTATTTCTCTAATTTTTTTTCAATCCGAAAATCACAATTGTTTAAGGCTTTCTCACACGTGAATGTGGGAAAGTTTAATGAGTATTTATATTAATGCAAGGGATATTATGATCACACTTTTTGGATATGAGAAATTCTTGTATCAAAATGTGGATGGCAATGTAAAGGTAGATATGTAGTAATAATTCCATATATATATATATATATATATATATCCTCTCAAAAGCCAATGAAACAACTTTTCAAAAGGGAGTTTGGAGGAGATATCTTTATGGACTAGGTCTCGTTTGCAAACATCATTTCCTTTGAATTTAATTAAGGAAAATAGTTAACAACATAAATAATATATGGACTAGTTTTTATAATTATGTTCATGATGTGGCAAGATAAGAATCTAATCTCATTAATTATCATAAATATAACTATCATATGATTATCTTACAGTCAAAACAAGAATAACTATTACAATCACACCCTATACATGTGTGTATTTATACATATAAATATATGTATAGTAGTGATCTCATTTTGTTGTATGATCAAACTATAGATTTCTCTTTAGTAATTTTGATTTAAAAAATATGGTAGACATCACGTGTCGGTGTGTCATGAGAATTGAAACATTGTGAGAAAACAGAATCTTGTACATATATTCTAAAAAAAAAAAAAAATTGTTATGAACACTTGTCTTGCAAGTTTTGCTCCTATTCAGGAAGGGGATAAATTTAACTTCATACAATGTCCAAAGATTGAATTACATGATTGTAAGCGGATAGAAGATACTCCAAAGACGGATGTTTATATTGTGAAACTTTTGTTTGCACTCTGTAATTTCCTACATCCCTCTCCAAAACACAAAATTCGTTTGGAAACCATCATGAATTCCCATGCGGAGATTTTAATCTCAGACATAAATCATTTTTAAAAATGCGTTTAGTAGTTTTATTAAGAGATTATTTTCAGTATAAAAAAAATCCACTAATGTCTCTCTCTGTGCTTGAAAAAGGAGAAAACAGAAATAAAAAATGAAAAGTGAGATTTTTTTTCAAATTTGAATTGTGACTTGAGTTGTCATTAGTCTTTACACGTAACAAGAGAAAAGAAACCAAATGCACAAACCAAGTTTTTTTTTTTTTTTTTTCAGCAATTCGGTTGAAGAATCGAAGCCTTGAACTTGGAAACTTTTTCGATCGAGAAATGAGAAAACAAATACAACAGCAAGCGTTGTTTGGTTTAAAAGAATTGCCCGTATTATCGGGTTGAACAAATCAATCATTATAAATTCTAGTCCAAACAGAGTGCTAGAGCATGTACCACTTACAATGAGGGGCTTGTAGATTGAAAGAATCAGTGTAGCAGATTCCAATGAACAAACAAAAGAACATCAGAACATTTTCATCATTATAGACAATTTATCAAAGGCCAAAACAAAAACAAAAAAACAAAAAAATTACGTACTTTGTCTTCTTGAAATGTGAATATAAACTGTAAGACTCAACCCCATCAGACGTTAATATCTGAGCGTCTTGATCGGGCGGTACTGCTGACTTCGGCGGAACCATTCAGAGCAAATCTAGGCAGGCTATAGTTCTCAGAAACCGAAACCGGCTGCTGAGGGTAGAGTGTCGGGGGTGGAGTGAGATTGCGTTGAGCTGGGAGAGGAGGAAGCATGTTGTATTTGTATGGATCGCTGCGGACACTACAATCAAATGGAAATTGGGTGAGCGTGGATGGAGAAGGGTATTGCCAACCAGCAGAGAGAAACAAGAAAAAGAAATTGGCCCATAACAGAATTCAGAGATTGACAATGACTTTGAGCAAACTCAAATTTCGCCAACGAAATTCGTAACGATTAATAATAGCAATGCAATCGTTTTGGAAATACATAATACATGCTCGTTTTGGAGCCAGCATAACCATCACACGAAATAATGACGATAACAATGTAGACAAATTCCAAGAATTGAGTTTTCTAAACTACCTAGTATTCTTGTAATCGTCATCACTTGAATTATCATCCAATCGCTGAACAGGTCTTTGAACTGGAGAGATGGACCACGAGTTTTGAGCAGGTAATTCATCTGCAAAGTACCTTCTCCTGATCAACTGAATCATATAAAAGCAAGACATTATTTTATCGTATTATAGGATTCAATGATCATAAGATTCAAGTACATTGCATGCACGCAGGCACATGATCAATGGTTCCATATACATGAAGAATGAAATGGCGAGAAAAATGAGAGGATAAGAACACAGACCATTCGGAAGAATTTCATCACGGCTTCCTTGTCATATCTTGCTTCCTTTGCAGCCTGCATTATGGCTCAAGTAATGTAAACCACAACAGGTAGCAAATAAGCTGACTACATGCAGATGTTGTACATTAAAGAAGCATTGAGAAGAGGAAGTGATACGACGATTTGTAAGACAGCCTTATTCAGGTTTGGGTAAATGCTCCTGATCTACAGAGAGAACTGGCAACCCAGGAATAATAATAATAATAAATTTATTTGATTTCTTTCACCTGATGTTAAGACTGATTTCCTTCCCTGCTGGTAAAGGTCACAGCGCATGCACACATTCATATAACTACAAAACTCGAGAACTTCGGAAAAAGCGACTAATATGAACCCATAAACTAAGGAGGACACAAAAAAGAAAGGGGATATCTCAGTGTGATTGGGAGGGATGAATAGCAAGACGCTTTCCGGAACACCAAGTTACTATCATCAAACAACTGCACTTCTATTTACATGCAAACTGTAATTCCTTGTCAGTAACTAAACATAAGAACATTATTTTCACAAATCAACAGTGGATTTCCTTTATAGCAGGCATGCTACTTCTCCAATATAGATGCATATACGGACACTTGCATGTACACCAAAATATCAAAAAGTTCCTTTCATACCAACACAAACAACAGATAAGTTTCATGAACTACCAAATTACTGTGTACTTTAATTTGTTTTCAAGGGATAATTTTCCCCATACAAGCGGAAAAGTTTGCTTCTTACCGCAAGGAGACGTCCGGAACCAGGAAAAGTCTCCGTAAGTGGAAGTTCCTCACTGGATGGGAGCAGACCCTGCTTTTCAACCCACTGACGAGCAGCGTCAACAAGGTTTCCACTACTTCCTCTTGTGCCCTCTTTTGCTGCAACATCGGCTTTGTTACCAATAACAATATACGGAACAGGAAGGCCCCCAGGTCCTCCAGATCCTAGAGGAGCCGAAAATGTCCCAGTTGAAGCAATCTCAGTTGCCCACTTCTGCAAGCTAGTTTTTGTCCTCCTTTGAGAAAGATCATGAACAAAAATAACACCTGTGTATGAAAGCAATGGAAGAATTCAGAACTAATAACCAGGCAGTCGGTGATTGCAAAATTTTGTATTTCATGTACTTTCGAATTTTATAAACCACCAAAAGACCAACTCCCCACTCAAGTTCCCAAAGAAGATCAAGCAACATCACACCAATTCATTCTTCCTTTCCTTTATTTTATTTTATTTGATTTTTTGTTTAATTAGATTTCTAAGTTCTTTATTCAACTAGTCATTATTTCATAAAATAAATGTATGACATTCTTGAGTAGTCTACTTCCCACATGCCAGATTCTTACTTCAATGTTGAACTAATCTAACTCTATTGCATTCTGCCTAAGACGTCATAAAGTGCTTAATGGCATGTTTACCTACGCGTAATTAGAATAGGCATGAATCGGAGTGAGCAGGATTTGGAATGGGTAGGATTCGGAGTGAGGAATCGGAGTCAGAATAAATTGTTTACTTGGTGACAGAATTCGGAATCAGAGTCACTCCAAATCCCATTCATGCGTTTACTTACGCCTAGAATCAGAATGAAATAGTGTAAAAATACTAATATACCCTTTAAGTCAATCTTATATTTTTATTTAAAAAATAAATTGTGTACTTATTATATTAAAATTAATCATAATTAAAATATTTAGTGTAATAATAGGGTAAAAATATAATAAATATAAATTGTACAATTATTAAAAAAATTAAAAATAAATTGTTAAAATTTAAATAAAAAATAGTGTTAAAAATTAAAATATATTATTAATTTCTTAAACAAATATAGTAAATATTTATTATATTAAAGTTAACAATAATTAGGTTAATATTATAATATTGGGCAAATAAAATAATAAATATATGTTGTAATCATTATTTTTTGAATTTTATTTTGAATTTTATATTTATAAGTAAAATAGAGATATGATGATAGTAATTTAATGTTAATATCAGGAAGGGGAGTCTCAATCCCAAGGGGGGGCATGAGAGTGCCAATCCCATTCCTCCATCCCAAATTTGAGTGGGGCCCATCATTCCCACTCTCATTCCAAGATAAAAAAGAACAAGTAAACATAGGATTGACACTCATTCTTCAATCCTAGTAAGTAAGCATGCCATAAAAGGGTTTCACGAATTTATTATTCACTAGCAACAAGTACGAATAAAATCCTGGGCAAGTCCCTAAGGCGAAGGTACCAAGAAACTTATAATGGGTCAACTCAAAATCTGCCATAGTTCTCAACCCATTTAATTTTATCACTAAATAGAATATTTGTACAAAAAAAATGAAATACACGAGGCCAATCAGAGACTGAAATACATCAGACAGTTACTGTTGGAAGCTAATGTTAGTTTTGAAGCCTTTTCACTTGTTCATATTAAACATACACAACTATTTACCAAAAAAATAGAATGTTTAAAAGAGGAGTTTTGCTACTTGCCATTAATTTGTGTATAGAAAAGTGATCGACAATCTTTGTATCTTTCATGTCCTGAAACATCCCAAAGCTCAACGAAAAAATCTCTTTCGCTGTCGCCTTTGATGCTGCTTGAAGAGCTACCAGCATTTCCGTAAGTAGTGTGCTGGATAATCAGGAAAAAAAAATGTTTTTTATGATCTCCAGAATGGTTACATGCGTCCTTTCAGAATCGGGAGAAAAAAAAAAGAAAGAAAAACTCAATTCTCACCTTTACAGCAACTGTACATCCAATTGTTTGTGGAGGGCGAGCGGTAGAAGAACCTTTGAGAATCAGATGCACAAGAGATGTTTTCCCAACGCCTAACAAACGATCATAGCAGAAGTTGACTTTCATATTTACGGTTGAAATGGAAATTTGCAGTTCAAGAAACTTGAATATTTCTTGAAATGCAAAAGATCATTAAATAATCTAAAGTGAATTACGATTGCATCATCATTATCCGAGTACTTTATCCCCAAACAGATATTCTACTTCCGTGTTCTACCACCTTATAACACACTACATGCCCTGAACTAAACCATGTGCAAACCTTGATCCACTAATCTATTCGTGACACTATGAGCATAACTGCATAAGTCAGTCTACCATAGTTAAACTTCTAACTCTGCGACTGTTCAGCCAACTAAATAAATAAGCAACATAAAACATTGTACCTAAAACTGAAAACATTTGTTTCCAAATTTATAGAAAGAAACAAAAACCAATAAACATGTGACATGCAATAGAAAAATACATTTATGCCTTAACAATTAAAATTAGCAGAAAAACACACACAAAGTGGGTTACAATTCCAGAAGAAATTACAATTCCATTTCTTCCTTATACAGATCAGTATCTGATCCGCAACAAATTATAGTTCTGTCATTATTCTTCCATCTAAAAATTTCAATTTCCTTATTCTGCATCCTTACAACATACTAAATGCCCCGAACAAAACAATGTGCAACATTGCTCCACCAATACATCAAACAGCCTCATGCATGTAACACAAGTTCTTGCGAACGGATTAAAGCCCTAATCCTTTCCTAACAAGAGCAATAATATAAAACAAAAGGCAAACAAGAACACACACGATTTGGAGTGGTTACCCTCTACATCCGACCTCAGCCATTATAGAATTCACCTTTGACAAGAAGAGATTACAAGAGAATCATACACTCACACCATTCAAACAGTCGTGTTTCCACTTTTCAGCTTAACTCTCTACTCCCCGAAAATCAGTACTCTCCCAATACAAGTAAAACTAAGGCAACCCGAAATACAAGTGTAAAATCCTCAATGTACCCTTAATAAAATTTTGGTTTGGGGCGGAGAATTAGAACACCTCTTCCAACCCCCACCCCAACCTTACCCCCATAGGTCGATTCGTGTGCTAACTCTGCGTATGGCAATAATTAGGTTCCACAAACTCAAGAGTTCTGACCCTTCTCATTGTTCTAACATTGGCAACATAAGTTTGTCGAATCTACTAAAGATAAACCTTTAAAGCAATTAGAACTGTACTCCGATTTGACACCAATTCATCTCCAAACTTTCAGGAAGAGTCTAAAACTAAGCAACACAAAGCACACAATGAAAGACAAATATTTTATATACTTAAACACATAACATACAATGAAAGAAAAATACCAAAACAGATCAAAATCTATAAAAATCTGCAGAAACAAACATAAACTGGGCAACACAATAAGAACAATAAATTAACGTACCTGAGTCCCCAACCACAAGTACTCGAACCTGCCCACAGGGCGGTCCTCCGTTTTGCTCTTTGCTCTCCCTCTCACGTTCCCTCCAAAACATGTTTTTTTTTTTTTTTCACAAAAACCCTCCCAATAAAAATCACCTCAACAAAATACTCCACAAGAAAAAAAAAAAAAAACAACTCTTTTTTTTTTAATTTTTGGTTTCTTTTTCCTTACACACAATCAAGTCCCATCAAACACACTCAAGATCCAACGGTTTCTCGAACTGGGTGTCTTCAGTTTCAATCTAAAATCCATGTTACATCGAAATCAGCCCGAAAATAGAGAACCCATTTCCAGAAATGTCACAACAAGGAGACGAAGAACACAAAAACCCAGATCCGAGAAATTAACAACTGGGTTTGGCTCCAAATTCGCAAGCGAATAAGAAGAAAGAAGAAACGAGATCTGAAATGAAAATATGTAGGATTGCAAACTATTAAGGAAATATGATTTGATTCGTTTTTGTTTATTTGTTTGATTTTTACTGCAATAAGCAAGCCGACGAGGTTAAACAAAATTTAAAACGGTTGGCGAAAGTTGGTTTGGTTCGGTGATGAGAGGGTTTTGATCGGTTGTCGTTCGAACGTGAGTGCGGAGCGGTGCCTGAGAGGGTCCAGAAGCACTCACGTGATGTTACCATTGGTGAGTGATTACACGCACCGTACCTCGCAAATCACACCCCTCCAGACCCCTTATAAAAATTATTTTCTTTTTTATTTAGTTTATTTTAATTTTAGATTAAATTACGAAATTACCCCGGTTTTTAAACAAAAAAAAAGTAAGAAAAGAAATATGATCTTTCCTTCTCCTTCAAACGACTGAAATCCCCCCAAAACCAACAAAAAAAAAAAAAAAAAACCTTGTCATTTGCCGCTAATATCGTTGGAATCAACCGGTTCTCCAACCCCCCACCACTTGTGCTTGTGCGTACTTTCGCCGTCTCTCCAGTCTTAAAAACAACCCACTAACTCTAGCAAAGTTAAACAACTCCTCACCGTGAAAGTAACCTCCTTACTCCGGTCATTCCTCCTGACGCTCCTCATTCCTCACCGTGAGATATCTGTGTTTATTTTATGTTTTTGTTTCGTGATCTGGGTTGTTGGTTTTGTGTTCTTGGTGTGGATTCTGTTATTGCATTAGTGAACACCACATGTTCGATAAAGGCCTGACTTGTTTTTGTGACATTTATTTCTGAATGTTTATCATAAAATCGTGTAAATGTGTGTCTTAATTCTGGAAATGTGTTTGATATGTGAAATAGGACTTGTTGCATTAGTGCCCACCATATGGATAAGTTGGGCTCGTTAAAGAACGCGTCAAATGTTTTGACAAAGAAGATGGTCAAAGAGATAATATGTTTTATGATTCCCCGACCGCATCGAGACATGGTGACTCTAATGACTTCGATCACACCAAATGGATCAAAATACCGGGGCCACACAACTTGATGTTATACCGAAAAGGCAATCAAAGAGGTCAAAGTACAAGCGAACTCCGTTTACAGATCCTCAAAGTACAAGAGAACCCCGCGACCACCTATGATTAGATAGTATTTTTGAACTATATTTACTATTTTGAACGTGTATGAGACTGATGATGAATTGTATAACTTTGTATAAATAAGGTTTTTTTCCCTTTCTTCTGTAGAAACATACAGAATTTTATAGGCATATTGTGGATTTATCTAAGTTACGTATGGTTTTGGACTTGTAGTCGTGAACAAGTATGGTTTACTTGGATTATGTAATTTTCTTACCGTTCGTACCGGTACTGGTAAGAACGGTCAGAAACGGCCAAGTGGCCTTACCGTTCTTACCGGTATCGGTAAGAATAGTTAGAAACGGCCGAGAGGCCAGGTATGGTGTCTGTAAGTTTCTTACCAGTACCGATAAGAACGGTCAGAAACGGCTGAGAGGCCAAGTATGGTATGTGTGTTTCTTACCGGTAAGAACGGTCAGAAACGGCCGAGAGGCCAAGTATGGTCATTGTATGTTTCTTACCGTTCTTACCGGTACTGGTAAGAACGATCAGAAACGGCTGAGAGACCAAGTATGGTCTGTATGTTTCTTATCGGTATGAATGGTCAGAAACGGCCGAGAGGCCAAGTATGGTCTCTGTAAGTTTCTTACTGTTCTTACCGGTACCAGTAAGAACGGTAAAAAACGGTCGAGAGGCTAAGTATGGTCTATGTATGTTTCTTGCTGGTAAGAGCAATCAAAAACGACCGAGATGCCAACTATGGTCTCTGTACAATTATTAACAAAATATTACCAGAGAATTAATTTAGAGAATACATTTGATCAAAAGCAAACCTATCTAATAATACATATACATGGAGATATACATATTCATATATATATATATATATATATATATATACATTGAAAGGATATGGAAGAATATATGAAGAAGAGGACTATGGACTTAGTCTTGACATAAGGTGAAGTTACACTTAGCCAATGATGCATCCATCATTAACGTTCGGATGATCTTTAGGTTTGTGGCTTGTTTTCTTACCGATTAGATCGCTACGAAACTATTTCTTTAGATTTCCCTTACTCTTACCGGTTAGAAACGGTCAATATGTAGGTTTCGATTCCATTTCTTTCGATTTCCTTTACATATATATATATATGTGTGTGTGTATATATATGTATACAAGAAAGATTAGTAATGACATATGTGGATTGTGTTTCATTCTCGCCCGTTGAATTGGTACTGGTAAGAACGGTCATATTAGGCATTCTGATTTTTGAAGGTTTCTTACCGTTCTTACTGATACCAGTAAGAACAGTCAGAAACGGCCGAGAGACCATGAAATAAGTCTGTTCCTTTCTTATTGTTCTTACTAATACCGGTAAGAACGGTCAGAAATGGCCTAGAGACCATGAAACCTGTAACAAAATATTGCCAAAGAAATAAGTTAGAGAATACATTTGATTAAAAGAAAACCTATCTAATACGAGTGAGGAAATATATCTTCACAAGGAGATATATACATATATATATATATATATTAATATATACATTGAAAGGATATGGAAGAATATGTGAAGAAGAGGATTATGGACTTAGTATTGACATAATGTGAAGATACACTTACGAGAATACACTTGGACAATGATGCATCCATCATTGACGTTCGGATGATATTTAGGTTTGTTGCTTGTTTTCTTATCGATTAGATCGCTACCAAACCGAACGGTTACAAACAGTCTACATATAGGTTCTGATTCCATTTTTTCGATTTCCTTTAGATTTCTATATGTAAGAAAGGTTAGTAATGATCGAGGACATATGTGGATTGTGTTTCACTCTTGCTCCTCAAATTGATACCGGGAAGAACGGTCGGAAAGACAGTCCAATTTTTAAGTAATTCTTACCATTCAGATTGGTACCGGTAAGAACGGCAGAAAAGGCAGCATGGTTATTGCGTGTTTCTTACCGTTCTTACCGGTATCGGTAAGAATGGTTAGAAAAGGCAGCATGTCCAAGTATGGATTCTGTGTTTTCTGACCGTTCGAATTGGTGTCGGTCTGAACAGTCAGAAATGAGCCAAGTGGTCTATAACTTTTGTTTAACAATCTTATTGTTTAGATTGGTATCGGTAAGAAGGGTCAGAAAGGTTTTGAAATTTATTTTTAATTTGTTTATTTAATGAAGTTTAACATATTGTATATTGAAGTAATTAAGTACAATTCAAAGTTGGAAAAGAATTAGTGAGAAAAAATTAAATAGTATCAATTTAGATCATACATTTGAGAACGTGAGATCATTACATGGAGATCTTTACTAATAATGCATTCATGATGTAAACTTTTCAAATTATGATTGATAAATATAATGATTGCCTCTTCGGATCGTACTAAATCTAGTTTGTATTGTTTAGAAGATAACGGTCAAGATTTACCATAATGCAAGACTCTCATAATTACACTAAACATGGTTTTTTTCCTCAAGGATGACTTTTTTAACTTAGTATAGAGATGTTGAACTAAGTTTTCAATCTTTATACATTGGTTCCGATAAGAGCGATTAAAAATGACCGATGACAAATGTTGATTGTGTTTCATTCTTACCGTTTAGATTGGCCCAGTAAGAACGATTGTTCTTACTGGAAAGATTATTCCGACCAGTTGGTAATTTTCTTGCCCGTCACACCAGTAAGAACATTCTGACCGATATCAATTTTTCTTACCAGTCACACCGATAAGAACGGTAAGAAATGAAAGTCATGGGTTTCTTTGATTTTGCAGATTTCACAACTCTGAAGAGGCCACGAAATAACATGATTCTTGTTGGTTTTTCAAATACAATACCTAAGTACAAATACCCAACATTTAAACAACGAAATAAGCAAAAAAAAAAAAAAAGAGAGAAGATTTGAGAAAAATAACGGTGGTGAATCTTGATTTCTCAAGCTTAGAATACTCTTGATTTTGCTCTCTTAAAAGCCAAAAACAACAACCGAACTGTGAATCCCAATGGATGCCGGTGATGATGGACGTCGGCAGGAGGCGTCTCCGGCAGTGGAGGCCGGCACCGGTGGTTGCCTTCGGTCGACCGAGAAGGCTTGGACGAGAGGGCTTCTTCTCCAAAGTTTTTTTTTCACTGATATTTTACTTACTAAGGATAAGGGCAATTGGGAGAATACAAAAGTTTCACTAAAGTAGAGGGTTATCTATTTAAAATTTTCACTTTGAGTCCTAGTGACTTGAAAGAATGTCTATTTTAAGTCTATTTTTCAAAAGCTCCCCCATAGCCCGTAGGTCGCGTGCTCTTTCTGTTTCATATATGATTTTTTTATTTAAAATAAAGACAAATTTTATACATTTTCTTAACTTTATCATTTATGTCAACATGCCCTATGAACTTTAAAATGTGCATATAGTGCCCCTGAACTTTGTCACTTGTGTCAACATGCCTCCTAAGGTTAACTCCGTTAATTTTTTTAATGAAAATGCTTATAAACACCCTCCTAAATTTTGTCACTTATGGTAATATGCCCCTTAAACTTTAAAATGTACATGTTTTGTCCCCCAAACTATGATATGTCTCCAATTTTTCTCCCTCCATCTTGATTCTATTAGTTTTTTTAACGAAAATATTGATATGACCATTAAATTGCTAATTATTTATGATATTTGACCATTAAAGTTTGTTAAGTTAATGGGTTTCTTAAAGTTTGTGTTGATTTTTTTTAAAGGTATAATAAAATAAATGACTTAAACGCATTTAGATTTAGAAATGTTATATATGTATAAAGCATAACATGTTTTATATCGAACACTTCTATCTAGATGAAATATTAAGATAAAAAACTAACAAAGTTCATTATATTATACAGATTTACTTTTCATTTTTTCTTTTATTGCCTCTAATCAACTAATGTTTTGAGAATTAGTGTTTAACTAACATTTTTAGAGGAGAATGTATTCAATAAACCTCAAATATCATAGATAATTAGCAATTTAATGATCATATCAACATTATCGTTCAAAAAAATGATAGAATCAATATGGAGGGAAAAAAGTTTGAGACATATTATAGTTTAGGAGACAAAACATGTACATTTTAAAGTTCATGGAGCATATTGACATAAGTGACAAAATTCAGAAGGCGTTTATAAGCATTTCCATTAAAAGACTTAATGGAGTTAACCTCACGAACATGTTAACACAAGTGACGATGTTCAAGGAGCACAACATGCACATTTTAAAATTTAGAGAACATATTAACACAAATAATAAAGTTCTAAGGGAATTTATAAAATTTGTTCTAATAAATAAATACATTACATGGCATATTTAGACGAGTGCAAATAAAATGTAACAATTTTGAAATATTTTAAGAACAACATAATTATATAGTAACTATAATCACCGCAACTATTATTATAATGTTCGTGCTACATTATTACGTTGTTAATTATTATAATGGTATTAATTTGTGAGGTAATCTACAGTGAAGCAACTGTGAAATGTGATTTCTATTCATAGTTATAGATTAAATTTTTTGTTATATTTCGACATAATTAATAAGATTATGTTGTGTGTCTAATCTTTTGGAAATATGTAATAATGATTTTATTACATGGTTGTGAAGCAACCTGTATCACAGTTTTAATTTTAGGAGATCAATGTTTTCTTTAGGCTCATTAGAAGCGTCGTTGAAAGAGGATTTAATAATTTTCACGTTTTTTTATGAGAAGAAATGGCTCCATATTGTCTTAAAAAATACTGCATAATAACCACATTATCAAGGTTATTGAAAATATAATTTTCTCGAGGTGCACAAATAAAGTATCATTAATCAATTGATCTCTAATTTAATGCATAACCACTACTTTAAAATATTCAAAGCAAAAAAAATACCTCTTTATAGTAGCGACAACAATAAATAGAGTTAATGCTACTGTTAGAAGTAGATAAATTAACAGATGTGTGTTGTTTATTCTTAGTTAGTTGTAAAAAGAGTTTTAAAGTTAAGATCAGTAGTATTTTCTACAAAGTAATATTCTTAGAGGTATTTCTTTAGAAAGTGGTATTTTTATAATTTTTGGAGACTTTACGATTAGATTTTTAATTTGTTAGGGAAACCATATCTAATTTACGATAATACAGCTATATAATATATATATATATATATATATAGAGGATAAAGTTTAGTTGCCTCCTATATTGCATATTCTACTATTTGTTAATAAAGTTTTTTGGATGCTAAAATAATCTTTTGTTATTTAAATGTGATGGAGTTTTTGAGGGCCTGTTCTTTTGGTATTTTTGAGTTAGATAACTTGAGTGTAGATTTTGAGTTGAGTTTGAGTTATAACTTGAGTTGAAGTTGTAACTTGAGTTTGTGTTTGATTGTGTACATTTAAATTATGATTCGAGATTAGAATTTATTTGAGTTTATGTTTGTTTGAACTAATTCTTGAGTTGTGAATAGCATCTTAAAATTTTTTTTATTTTTTTCATTTAATTAATTTTATGCAATTTGATTTGAATAAATAAACGAGTGTGTGGATCATAAACGAGTATTATGCATTATAAAAGTATTTTCTCTTCTCTCTCCACGTGTGAAACCCAAGCTTTTTCCTTCTATTTTTTCCTTTTTTTTTTCCTCGACACCTCCGCTTCATTTGCTTGCTTTTTTTTTTCCCCCTTCCCCTCTGCCTCTTCTTTTCTCTACCCCTTTCCTCTGCGTTGCTTTTATGCCCTCTCCACTTACTCATATCTTCTTCTCTCCAGTGCCTTCTTTGTCTTTTCTCAACCACGCAGACGTGAGTTCTTCCAACGCAGACTTCTTCTCTCTTCTTTCTCCTCCTCCCACAGCCTTCTGTCGCAATAAAAATCGTTGACGGTATTTGGCATTTTTTTCATTTATCTCTCAAGTATCTCGCCCCCTCTTCCTCTCTCGAATCTCCCTCTCTCTCTCCTCTTTCATTTTCGACACTCTCTCTCTCTCTCCTCTTTCACCCCCAATCGTGTCCAAGCCCCGTCGTGACCCACCCCTTCATATATACTCAATCTCGCCGTCACAGCCCCGTCGCGACTCCCGACCCATCCCCCTCATCGTGACCTGCCCAGCTCTGCCGCGATCTAAATCCACAGCACCTCCGAATAGAGTTGTTTAAGATTTTGTTTACAGAGTGTTGTGGACATTGTTTGGTATTGTTTAAGATTTTGTTTGGTTGGTGTTTGATATTGTATAAATCTTATCTGGGCTTGTTGAAATTGTTTATAGTGTGTTTTTTAATAGATGATTGGGCTTCTTTTTTTGTTTGATTTCTTTATATAGAGATGGATTTTTCGGTGGAGGATTCGGGAGAGTTAGAACGGCTGCCTGAAAAATTCATCGATTTCTCTTTCCTCACTTTTCTCGGCAACCAAACAAACCAGAGAGAAAGTTAAAAAAGAATTAAACAGGAATCTTACTGTAGAAATACAGAAAAGTTACTCAAGTTGCAGTGGGAAGGTGAACTCGAATAAGGCAGGGTAACTCAAATTAATTTTCGAGTTTGAGTTTGAGTGTCGTTCGAATTCTCACACGTCGAACGCAAACTTGAGTAAAGTTTACTCTCGAGTGAGCCTTTCTCGAGTAAAGTAGAGCAACCGAACAAGGCCTGAATTATTATGTTCTATTTGTAGGAGGATTCAATTTGGTGAGTACGGAGACTCTCTTCCTTTATCTCTCCTCTTCCTCCTCTCTTCATTCAAACATCTCTCCACTCTCTTCTATCTTCATTCCAACCAAACAATAGATAAACATGCCCTTTTTATCTTCTCTACCCCCAATTCCAATATACTCGAGTTTAATAAAGGATCTTTTAGTCTCGTTCATTTTATCGATTCGAATTTAAAATACGAGTTTTGTTACAGTAAAAAGCTCTCACAAACAGTCACATCTAACTTTTTTATCACAGTAAAAAGTTTTCACATAAAGTCACATCTCAACTCGAATCAACGAACTAAACGGACCATTTATCTATTTTTTTAAAAGTCAATAGATGCAAAAGAAAATGTGATAGCATATGAAAAAAAAAACTCTACCAATAAGACGCAATTTTAAATTATTAAATTACATGAATTACATACGTTTGTGGGATAATTTAATAGGACATGATAAAATCTAAAGGTTTAATTATGTTTGATGCGAGTCTTTTGTTTACCCTACAAAAGAATTGTCCAAAAAAGAAAATGGTCATTATTTATTGAAAAAAGTGATTTTTTCTCATCTTTGTCATTCATTAAGTGGGACGCCTTTTAGTCACAAACAATATGTGTAGGTCCCAAAAAAAAAAAAAAAAAAAGACCAAATTGACTAGTGGTTAAGTGTGTAAGTGTGTGCATTCGTCCACTTAATTTGAATTTATGGTTTTTTTATTATGTAAAATGAGAGTCATAAATCTCATACCGTATAAAAATAAAGTCCAAAAAAAATAACATTGTCAATCCCTAAATATTTTAACAGGTGATAAATTAATCCCTAAATTTTAAATTATAATTAGTTGTCATGAAATTCTTGATTTAGGGAGTAATTTTTTTAAATTGATAACGTCTCTCTAAAATTACAAGGAAAAGAATATGATTGAAATTTTTTTTATATATTTATTAAAATTAAACTAAAATCTAAAATGATATTTCTTCTCCAAAGAAACTCTAACCGTCATCCCTCTCTTTACTCTCCTGATTAATTCACTTATACCATTTTATGTGTAAATTAAAAGCTTAAATATCTGCACATACGACGTATATTTGAATACCAACTATCTAAAAGCAATCTTCTTCTAATTCTTTTTACGGAAGATATTCTTCTAATTCGCCTCATTTTATGTGAGCAATCGTGTAAATTTAGTTGGGTACCACTTTTAAAATATGTTATTCAATCGTATGATTTTTATGTGTAAATTATACTTAAATGATTGTATATTTGAATACTAACACTTTCATAGCTCATTTGGGTTACACAAATCAAAAGATTTAAGGGAGAAAGAGAGAAATAGGTTAAGACTTGAGATGAATTAAAATTAATAGGTCAATAGTTTACATAAGATAATAAATAGGTCAAATTACTATTTTCGTCCATAACTTGTCTGGTTATGAACCATAACTTGACAAGTTATTGTCCATAATTGTCCATAACTTGTCTGACTTTGAACCATAACTTGATAAGTTTGTCCATAACTTATCTAGTTATGAACCATAACTTAACAAATTATGACCTATTAATTTCTATAGCTAAAAATTAACTTATATACTTTCTTAAATTTTTCATATCGACATACTTCCTACTATTTCTCAAGATTTAATATTGTTGGCATAAATCTGAAGCTCGGGTATTCTCGCGGCATTCTCAAAATTCCTCTTCCCTAATTCACCCATTAGAAATCCAATTCTTGCGAACTTGACAAAATAGGCCCAATCAACCATTATCCACTTGGGTCCAATCATGTACTTGCAAGCCTGGACTTCTTTATGGTGGCATATGCAAAAATAACCTTTCCAAAGCGGATTCAAATTCAAATGAATTTTTAATCCTTTGGTTCACGAATTCAGAATCATTATCAATTTATATATATTTTTTATGAGATAAAATATTATAGCGAGTTACAAATCATGATTCAAACCATGAGACGAATCCTCATACTAAACCATGATGATTCTAATCATGATTCTGGAACCATAACCATGATTCATGATTTTGAGTTCAAATCATGATTCTGAAACCATGATTTAGAATCATGGGTTTGAATCACCTTCAATCAAGAGAGGGAGTGATTTTAGAATCATGATTTGAGATAGTTTAAAACATCACATCAAATCCCGAATCATGGTTCATAATCATCCAAACCAAACACTGATTCTGAATCATGATTCAAAATTACTGTAAACAAACACTGATTCTGAACCAGGATCATGCTACCAAACACACCCTAATTCATTTTAGCCTCACATAATTACTTTGCAACTTAATTACAATAACACCATTTTCACTCTATTTTTAGATACAACAAGGATCAAATATTAAGTAGATTTTTTGTGAGGGGAAAACCAAAAAGGACCTGGGCTAATGAAGTGTATATTCTAGGAAGAAGAGGAAGAGTTTGAAGAAGCTTGGAAAGACCAAACATTTGGGACCAAGAGAGGCATTTGGTCGTAATAAACCACACCAGGACTCTCATGATTGTGCACTCCCTCATATGTGGTTATCACATAGCTTGAGTCATCCCTGTCTCTCTCTACCCTCTTCTTCACGTTGCAACCTCCACTTGAACATTTATAGTAATTCCTGTTTTCATTTATGGTAATTAATTACTTGATTGATAAAAATAAAAATAAAGGCAAATAGTGGAATTATAATATTTTAAAAAAATGTTACGGGGCACTGGTGGAGTTTAACACCATCTACTAATAAAAAGTGGGTCCTGCAGTGTGAGACCAGCAGGTGGGCCTAACTTTTTATTAGTGATGGTGCTTACCACCGGTGATGCACATAAGTATTTTTCTAATATTTGAAGAACGAGCAATTAAACTTGACCTTAATGTATTGAAAGCTGAGTTGTTGACTCTATATAATAGTGACATGTTTAGCCCACATATTGATTAATTTATTTTTTTCTTTAAAAAAAAAAAACAAGTGAAGGTTAATCACTTATTTCAAATCTCATATAATGTGTATTTAACAAGATTAATAGACTTATGTTTAACATGTGTATTGATTAATTTATCCTTTCTTCATTCAGGAAAAGTGAAGATTAATCACTTTTTAAAAATTTCATATAATTTGCATTTAATAAAAAATATAAACTTTTGTGTTACATATATAACTGGGTTGTAAATTATATTTATAGTTAATCGTATCATTTTAAATCAGACTACTTACATAGATCATCTCATATATGACACATCTATTACTCGTGTCAATCTGATAAAGATCTAAATCTATTCATCACAAATCTGAATTCACTAACTTTATACATATATTTCAATTAGTATTGTCGTATATCATCATCCAATTGACTTCATTCCCTATATCATACTTGGTAGATCCATATATATTAAGGGCAAAAAAAGAGTACATCCAAATTCTAATTTACTCTCATAACATGATATAGTGCATATACTATGATCATTTGTTGCTTCCCTCCACTACTCTCCGAAATTATTCAATAATAATTACTTGACAAAGTAGCAACTAATTACAGCTTCCCTGTAACAATAGGCACCAGGCAGCCATATTATATATATATATATATAGTGCATATACTATGATCATTTGTTGCTTCCCTCCACTACTCTCCGAAATTATTCAATAATAATTACTTGACAAAGTAGCAACTAATTACAGCTTCCCTGTAACAATAGGCACCAGGCAGCCATATAATAATGAGCTTAATTAGTTTGGATGATCAAAAGTTGACAATAGAGAGGAAAATGAAAGTCATTACTTTACATGGGAAATTACATTTCCTTCATGGCAAATGCATGATGAGAAGATGTTCTCCTTTTCACATGTGCACATATATAGCTGACCTCTAAAGAGTTGCCTTAGCTGTAGCCTATAGCTACATGGGCATTGGCCTAATTAGGCTACCAATTATTCGAAAAGAAATTTTTGAATTTAAATTCTCTGTGAGATGAACAACACTGTATTAGAATTAAAATTATGTATTTATGTATAGGAACCAAACGAGGCTGAATTCTTTTTCCTTATACTATTTAAAATCAACAGCAAAAATTATGCTAAATGAATCTTACGTAAATTCTCCCCTTTTAATAAGAGAAGAGGGGAAAAAAAAAAACGCCAAAAGATTAACTAACAAATATATTAACTAATCAAATCGTCTATACCTTTAGGAACAACTGGGGGTGTTATATTTTTGGTACTCATTCAAATTGTCCACTAAATTTTTAATTTTAACAACTTCTTAAACTTACCAAACTGTTGCAATTAGTTGGTCCAAATTATCAACTATGTGACAAGTGAGGGCAGTCTAATTGATTGTAAACTCCTCTATCCTAATTATAAATTGAGCATTCAAATCACCCTGAGTCTCATTTGAAAGTAGTGGCATTTCTCCTCCCCTTATATTAAAAATTAATATATATATATATATATTTATGTCTCAGCAAATTAATATATATAAATTTAAAAATTTATTTTTTCACAAAATTTTAACTAATGAATTAAAATTACAGACTTAAACGTGTAAATTAAATACACTTTAAGAAAATTTGCTGCACTTTTTAATTCAAACCGCTTGAATTAGTTTAACGAGCCATATAAAAATTTAAACCACCTCATTTTAAACTTATTTATTATTAAAGGGGTTGTGTATCACGTTGGGAATTAATTGAGGTTATGTCATGTCATATCGCCAGTGACACGACGGCTCTTACCTAGCGTTAGCCGCCTCCATTTGCTGACATGATGAGCGTACGTTATCGTGTAACTTTAATTTGGTGTTTTATCTTCTGCAAAAGGGTTATTGTCTTATTATTATTATTATTATTATTATTATTATTTTGATAAGCATTGTCTTATTATTTTTATTACGCTAAAAAAATGCTAAAACTGCATTTGACATTCGTATTACTAACTATTGTTTATAAAACGATTTCGATAGGTTAAACTAATTGAATCTCTCTATAATGTCATCTTGATCAATATCATTATCATTTCATGTATATTAATTAATGCTCCATTAACTAAAGCCCCACTGTGTCTATCTCTTGAGAATATAGAAACCCAATTAAACAAATACTGTATAAATCTCAATCATATATGTAATAATTTACTGACTTTTCTGGCCCTGATTTTGCCCCCATTTTTTTATGCGGATTACTAAGGTCCCGTTCTTTTCACTGATTCGAGTTTAGAATTCGAGTTTTGTTACAGTAAAAAGCTCTCAGAAGCAGTTACATCTAATTTTTTTACTACAGTAAAAAGTTCTCACACAATATCACATCTCAATTCAAATTAAAAACTCGAATTAGCGAACCGAAAGATACCTAAGATTTATTGATCATATGGGTCCTGTTGATGTTGAGTGTACCCAGTTGATTCCCAATGCTCAATAATTTTATCACACAAATTAATTATAAAAAAATGAAAAAAAAAATGTGCATATATACTTGTGCAAGTTGATGATTAGTGCCAAGCCTAGCTAGCCTGGCTTTAAGTGGTCATAATAAAGAAAGAGATCATCAGATAGTGAAGGAGGGATGGTGGATCAAGATGATCCACTAGTTTTCTGACCCACCCCATGCAATTTTTAATCACGAAATTTAGCTTCTGATTAATCATAGGCTTGTTTTTTATCTCCTTTTTTTTTTCTTCACCCCAAAAGAAAGTGTAATAAATAATTGAGAATACATACTTATATATTCTCAAGATCATCAACCCACAGTAGTTTAATTGTTTTACTCTTTCCGTACCGCTTAAATTTAGAAAAAAAAGTATATGTATGTATATGTGTGTGTGTGTATCATAATCATAATATATAAAAATCGAGAAAATTGAGAAAATAATGGCCGTAAAAATTATTGTAATTACCTGGGATTTGGGCTATTCTTGACCGACTTCTTTCCGTACTTTCTCCATCTGAATCCGTCATCCAGTACATCTTGCTCCGTTTTTGTTCTGAAGGCAACTTTATTATTATTATTATGACCCACCATTTCCATCTTGTTTTTTCTCATGTCCCCATTCTTGCATTTTCTGCAAAAAGCAAACAAAAAATGCCTAAATATCTAGCTTTTATTCTCTTCACATGCCAAATAGTGCTTCATTTATAACACGCACATATACATACTTATATATATAGGTGTGTGTATACATATATATATATATATATGTATATGTATGTATTTTTCCAAATAAATAATATATATACAATTTCAACACACCCCAAAGTGGGTTTTACTATCTCTTGCATGTTAGTAGTGTCTGTTGACGTTGCACCGCTGGATCCACTAGAGCCTGCAGCAGCGCCAACAAAGTGTTTCTGATCATGAGAAGACAACATCCTTTGTGACTGCGAGGAATCTTGGTCAACGCCGGCGGCGCCGTCGTCGAAAACAAGATAATCCGACAACTCGAAGTCCATCGGAGGATCGATGTTCGCCGGAAAGTGACTCCAAGTAGGGTTAGGGTTTCCGTGGAAGTTCATCAGTGCTGAAATTGAGATGGATATGGTAGACAGCAGTAGTAGCTGTGTCAAAAAAAGACGGGTGTGTGCTCTGGATTAGGTTTACTTCCATTAAACACATGAATATATATGTATTTATATTTATATATTCACATGGAATATAATATTATATTTTCCATATTTATGATTATTATCCTTCTTTCTTTTTTCTTTTTTTTTTAAATGGGGGTCCTTCATGTGCACTTTCCTGGAGGGATACCATGAAGTTTCTCTAGTGGTGCCACGTGGCAGTCTAGGACAACGAGCCATGTGACGTCACAGTGATGACGTAGGGTTTTGCTTTTGTGGTGTGGGATGCGAAGGGAATTGATGGATGCTGATATAACATGTAATATTGCTTGAATGCGTGAATATGTAATTCAAACGTGGCAATAAATGAGTGGATCTTATGATGACGTAGCGGGACTTAAGTAGATGTGAGCCATTTCTTAATTGCTTCGTGCTAATTACTAACTCATTGGGTCCGTGTAGTTCGTTGATTCAAATTTTTAATTTGAATTGAGATATGACTTTATGTAAAAAAAATTTATTGTAATAAAAAAATTAAATGTGACTGTTTTTAAGAGCTCTTTATTATATGAAAACTCGAATCGGTGAAATGAACGAGACTATTGTTTGGTTCGCTAATTTAAATCTTGTTGCTTTAAATTTTTTTGTTTGAACAAAAAATTTTGAACTGTACGGCTTAAGTTATAGTTTGAATTGACGTTTAGATGTGCACTTAAAATTTTAATCTAAACATGAAATAAAATTTAAATTTGTGTTTGATAGATGTGAAAATCAGATAGAGTGAACAACTTTTTACTATCTAAAAATAGTTTGAGCTATTAAACTTAAAAGGGGAGCTAAATTCTAAGTTGTGCAGTTTAACTCAGTTCAAATGAGAAATATAATTCGAATTGGATGCTTACTAAACACGAATTTAAACTCTGTTCACTGTTCAAACTGAGTTGAATTAAACTAAATCAGTGAAACAAACGAGGGCTAATTAAGTTATGGTAGGGTTCAATGCAAGTTTAACCCCTAGGCAAGTTAAGCAATGGCTTAAGGCCCCAATTTTTAAGAAGTCATAAAAAAATTTCCTAAAAATTAGGCCTATATTTAGCTATTGGAGTAACATGATATTGTCACATTTTGTTAGAATGACAATGCTACCCTTTAAATTTGTTTTCTGGGGGGGAAAGAAAAAGGAATGTTATTTTACTAAAAGTAAAATAAGCCAAAGATAACATACTATATGGCCACGGTCATTTAATCCCGTTTCTTTCTTTTTCCCGTTTCTTTCTTTTTCCGAACACAACTCATGAGAACTATTCTCTTTTTTTTTTTTTTCGTGAAATGCATACATATGATTTTGTGTCTTTTGTAATTAAAAAAAGGTAATAACTTTATTCTCCTTTCGGTTTCTAAGAAAATAAATTATCACTAAAGAAACGGAGAGAACCGTTAAAGATAAACAATCGTACAAACATATAAAGGAAACCCCCTTCCTTCAAATTAAAAAGAAAAAGCAAAAAAAAAAAAGTACAGGAAAACCCATAATTTAATTAGCTCCAATCATGTGTTAATTGATCCGGTGAAAGTAATTTTCAATATTCCCGTTTATCCAAAAATGGCTTTAAAAAAATATTATTTCTCATGTTGTTCTTTCTCGTTTAAGCATTTATCCTGCTCATTTCTCCTGTCGTAACAACCAAGCAAAGTAATGTGAAAACTTAAAAGGAAACAAAGGAGGGAGATTTCAAACCCCTAGAGTGTGATTGATCTGTATGATCAGCATGTAATAATTAAAGACAGTTTTATGATGAGATGTTTAATATTTGTTTTTTTGGCTCGTATGTTTAACTTTGTTTGATTCTCTATGAAGTTTGTGTTAAAGTTCTATCTTTCCTTACATATTTATTTGTTCAATTAGTCAGTAGTATATTACTAGTTAAAAGCGCGTAATTTACGCATGTAACTCATTTATAACAACAGTTATATAAATCGTCGAGAAAGAAAAAGAGGAAGAAAAAAGAATAAAAGAAATAAAGACAAAAGTAGGAAAAAGATCTAAAGCAAAAGATATGAAAAATAAAAGACAAAAAAACTTAAAAATAAAGTGTGCAAAAATGTGTCGCAACTGAAACTAAAATTTATAAGGATTATAGACAAAAAAATGTTTATGTAAGGGTACATTTAAGAATAAATTAATTTAGTAGAATAATTAAAAAAATAATATTTTAAATAACAGTAAAAAAGTACTTAAATCAGATATATTTAAAAATATATAAAAATGAAAGGTTAAAAGATACAATAAAAATAAAAATGAAAGGTTAAAAGATACAATAAAAAAAAGAGAGAGAGAGAGAAAAAAACTAAAAAAGTAAATAAAAAAAACGGGGAGAGGTGGGCAACGAAACGCCCCTACTAGAACTCTTAGGAGATAAATAGATAGATTGATGATTAAACGCACACACACAAAATTCCAAAAACAAAATGAAAACAAGATTTATGAAAAAGGAGTTAATTTCATGCTATAATCTTGCTAGGCTATGTAGTTTCGAACTTACAATAATACAAATATGTCAAGAATCATTACTAAACTTATCAACTCTAACTTTGTAAATAATCTGAGAAGAAGAAGAAGAATTGAAAATGGTTCTTATTTCTTAAATACCTTTTCCATAGAGCTAGCTATGGAGAAGAAGAAGAAGAAACTCCTATCTTTCAAAATGGTTCTTGCTTCTTAAAATACCTTTTCCATAGAGCTATGGATATATCTCTTTTCAAGCTTTTTACTTTATTTATTTATTTTTTTTGTTTTAGTGTCTGTGTGGCTTATTAGTTGTTTTTTTTTTATATATAAAAAGAAATTTAAATTTATGATATTGATCAAGTGGTATGCACCCATATAATCTCTATGTATATGCATTTTGTATACGAGTAACTATTTTTTAAACGGTATTTTCAATATGACTACAAAACCTATAAAAATGAGTATGCACCAATCATCGAGAATATCTATATATTTACTAATTATTTTTATATTTTGAGTCCAGATAGCCTAAGGATCATTCATTATAGATGTTGAGGGGTGTCATTTCATAACTAGAAGAATAGGCCTACCACCAGGTAGAACATGTCGAGCACTTAATTCGAGCACTAAGTAAATCTGACCATTGGGTTTGACCACAGGTCAAATACTTGGTCAGAGCACTAGGCCGATCTGACCACCAAGTCCTACCACCGGCCGAGCACCTAGTCCAAACAGGCTGAACACCTGGCATGACCACATGCTGACCACTTGATCCAAACAAGCTGAACACCTAGTCCTACTACCGGGTCCGACCACAGGCCGAGCACCCTGTCCAAACAGGCTTTACAGGAAAATGAAAAATATATTACAAATTAAGGAAATAGACGCACCAATTATGATTTCGCGGCCTCAAACAACAAGAAAACATGCACGATTTGGATAAATTAATGGTTATTCTAATAAATAGGGACGGAGCCAAGAAATATTTTCGGGGGTGTAGACTGTAGGGTAACTAAAATTTTGAACTAAAATTACAAAATAACTATATATTATATTAACTTTGTCTTTCTCTTTTTTCCTTCATTTTATCTATATTATTGTCTATTTTATTCTTCTTCTAAATGAACTGAGTATGTGATAAAATTTAATTCACTTTTTAGACTTGAGAGTCCCATAGTACTATAATTGATTTTTGATTAATTTCAAATTTAAGATATATATATATATATATATGAGTGTATTAAAAAGTAAAAACTTGGAGTATAAGTGAAAGATTTTAAAAAATTCCACCTCAATATTACAATTTATAAAACTTCAGGGGGCAAATAATGAGAAAAGTTGTGAAAAAAAGTTTTTAGGGGGCAAAATTAGGAGGAGCCATTAAGCCAGTTGTCCCTTAGGCTAATGTAACTCCCACCCTGCCAATAAACTTGAATTGAATGCTCAAGGGACAAAAAAACAAACAAACATGTGTAGACATAATAAAACTTTGTGTGTGTTTGTGATTGAACAAAAATAAGTGTTATATATGTGGTACAGAACTAATTTTATTCTCACTTTTTATTATTAATCTAATTAACGACATGTAGTTATCAATATATTAGTAAGTGTTTAAAAGCTAACTAAAAGATTAGTAAATTAAAACTAAAAGATTGTCAGTAAAAGGATAACTAATCATCACCATGCGAGTTGGTATTATAAAGTTGGGTCAGCTAACAATTTAGTTCTATCTATCCAATAAGTGAAAAGAGAAAGATGGGGCCTGTTTGTCCATGGAACTAAATAAACAGTTTTTGTTTTTAAAAACAATATTTGTACCCTAAAAACAAAACAATGTGTTTTGATAATGTTTTCTAGGAACAAGTTTTTAAAACAAAGTTGCAAAAAATAGAAAATTCAGAAAACAACTTTTTGTTATTTTCAGTGTTCTCTAGATACAATTTCTAATAAGAAGCATTTTATACTAAGTATATATGGTCATACATTATACACATACAAATGTATATTCTCTCTCATCACATTCTCTCCTTATTCTCTCTCTTCTAATTCTTTTATCACTTTCTCTCTACTAATTTTCTTTATTCACTTTCTTTCTCCTCAAAATTATTGGAATATAAGGAGTTTAGATTGGTATGTGTGATGTGTGTGGAGAGGCTATTAGAGTAGAGAATTTATTACTCTCAAGCTTATTCCACCAGCAAGTTTTGACGACTTAACAATGACGTCAACGCTTCCGACATGTAACTCACAAATCATTTTCTTTTGAACATGTCTTAGACAATATGAGTGCTTAATTTTCAACAATAATTTCTCAACATTTTCTCACTCTAATATTAAGGTTATTTTCTTAGAATATATACCTATATATAAAATATAAGTTTCAAAAAGTATTGTTCCCGCTACACTACTTTTAATTAAAACGCTCATTTGGTTGAACCGAGCGTTTTGGTTCAATTTTTTCTTTCCATCCTCTTTTTCTATTTTACTTTTCTTTCCCAAAATTTTTACATTTTGCTTC